GGCCCCGGCGCCGGCCAGGCTCCAGGGGCTGCGCAGCACGGGGAGGGGGCCGGGCGCCCGCGGCCCGGCGCAGGCCCGAGGCTTCCCCCAGCCCGGGAATGGTCTGCCCTGTAGGAAACGCACAGGCTCCACTATTGTCTCATCAGCACAAAGTTCTGCCACACTGCGGGGAAAGTCTGGAGGCTCGCGATGACTCAGACACGGATAATTCTTCCCCTAATAGCACTGAATCACGATCCCAGCAGCTGGTGGTCGCCCCTTCTTCTCAAGGTCTGAGGCTGCCGCAGCCCCAGTTCCTGGAAGCTGTTTACGCGCGCGTACACACACACACACATGCAGACATCCATACGTGCAGACGTGCTCGGGATGCAGGTCCAGCCGTCTCGGGCACCTGGGCACTGAGCTGCGAACCCAGACTTCAATGCGGATACCCTTCTGGTGGTCCCAGATGCGCGTGCATTCCAGGCGGCGTGGAGTGTGGCTTTCACTTAACTTCCTAGTAAATGATTATGGAAGTATTTAGATGGACATTATCAATGCATTAAGTCCTGAATCAAGATCAAAGGGGTCCCACTGGGGAGAACGGCGAGTCTGCCGTAGAGCAATTTAAAACCGATTGGTTGACTGTTGTTGTTTACTTATATCCTTGAAAGTTCAACTTTTATTTTTCTGTTCTTACAACTTCATTTCTTACCCTCGGCTACTCTCCGTAGGCCGTAGGTAGCCGCAATAAGTTGAGTCTGGGAATAGAAATCCTGATTTGACTCCCCAAAGCTTTAATGGTGCATGGCAAGGAGGGGCTGCGGGGTGGGGGTAGAGCCGGAGGAGGAGGGGCCGGGTTAGAGGAGCAAGCGCCCCTCGTCGGCGGTGACGTAGTCGGGGGAGCGTGGCCTGCGGAGGGGTAATACTATCTTCTCCCACCAGGCTCTTGGCCATATTGTTCTCTTTTTCCTCGTGATGACTCCGCAGTGGAGGTGGAATCCGTCCAAGACGCCCAACGTGGCTGTGCTTCCCGATCAGCGCTGCAGCCCGGGCGGCCACTTCTCGCGGTGGCGTTTCTCTCTGCCCCTCGCACTCACTGCTGGTGCGGCTCGCAGCCCTCCCCAACTTATGGCATTTACAACAGAAACTATCAGAGACAGGCTGCAAAGGGAGGTGCTTGTGCCCTGGCCAAGCTGGAAATCAGACGCGGGGCCATTCTGCGTGTGTGCGCGCGTGTGTGTGCGTGAGTGTTTCAGTGGAGGAAGGCGGAGGAGGGACCGGGAGAAAGACGGGCGACAACCTCTGCGACGAAGGATCCGCGGATCATAAAACGTAGGCTCCGTGTGATTAATGATCGGCACTAATTTGGAGAGCAGGCATGTTAAAGGTCATGGACAATTGTTGCTGCTTTCAGCATGAATGCCTAAGTGGGGTGTATTCTTGAACAATCCAATCTGAGACTGATTCTCAGAAAGATATGGAAGTGCCTACAGTTCATCACAACACAGTGAAGTGCACAAGTAAAACTATCCCCCAATCCAGCTAATTGCATAGGCATACGGCATGTACAGACATGTTCATATATATATTTACCAACAAAGAGATTAAAATTTACGTACTTGTAGTTTTAAAGGGTTTTTTTTTTTTTTTTTTTTTTTTGGTACTATTTTGGAATAAACGTGAGTGGATGGTATAAATCCAGTACATGTATCTGAATTCTTGAGTCTATTCAATACTACAATATTGCACTAATAATTTCCACGTGCTGAAAATTGACAAGTTAGACCAACCAACGGTGAGCAAAACTTCCAAACTCCTCCACACAAAATTGTAAAATTTTCATGGCTTGCCTGGTTTCTCTAGCCTGCTTAGGACCCTTTCTTAAATCACCCCCGTGTGATTTCACTCAGGGCTATGTCTGTCTACACAACATTGTGCTTTTAAACGATTTTCTTTCTTCCACGTTTCTCTGCAATGCAAGCTGAAATCATAATTTGTTGGATGGGCAAGAGTGAAATTTGCGTGTCCAGTGTTGCAAACCTAGAACATGGCAGTCTGAGGGCCAGCATCACTTTGTTACTAACCGTGGAAATGTGTTTACATTGTCCGCCAGGTCGCTGGTTGTTAATTTATCAATGTTAATTTGTCATTGTTAGCTTGTTCTACACACCAAAAAAAAAAAATGGTATAAAGATAAAATAATGAGTTCCCATACTATTCCCATAACCATATTTAGCAATGCCAAAATTTCAACTGTTTAATATCTTCAAACGTTTAAAGTAGCTATTAAAGATTAAAGACACTTGCTCTACACATAATACAAACCCCTGGAATCCCCCAGGAGAGGTTCTCCTATTTTGAAATGTTTAGGTAAATTACAGTATTTGGGTAGGGCAAAGTCAGCAGTATTAAGATTGAATACTAACTGTTGTGATTTGGCTATTTATAATTTTATAACAGACAGTAATTCTGGTTAATGAAATAGACGGAGAATAAAACACTTATTTTCCCGTGCTATTGTCTAATGAGCTGTTGGTTCAGCATCTGGGACTCTGCTCCTTCAGCATTTTGATGAAACATTGTTCAGTGGTTATGGAGTGATTGGGGATGTTTAGATAAGAAAGGCCCTTGAGGAATTCCATTAAAGAACACCTAAAAGTAAAACACAAACAAAAAAGAACTCCCCCCCCCCCAAGAAAGGCCTCGTGTATCTGAAACCTGGAAGTGAAACTTTCCATAGTATAGCATGAAATCCAAGACAAACTAAAAAAATATGTATTAAATATGCATGATCAAAATTTAAGTGCTTTAATTAGACAGTTTGGTGCACTACATATTAGTAAATATTTAATGTTAATTCTATCCCTGTGTGAATTTATTAGGATTTTCTAAATTATATTTGAGAAAGGAGAATGATGTTATGCACTGAAATCGAGGGGTAATCTTTTCCCCTCAGAACTCATTTAAATTTACAGATTTCAGAGTGGACTGGGGAGAAATTTGATATAAATTGCCAACAATTATTCCTAGGTAGAGACTGTTTTAGGAGCAGTACAGCTACTGACTGCCTTTACCGTGTTTGGAATAAGTAACTGTTTCATGTATAAATGGAATTTGACTACTTATTTAATCACTGATGGTTTCAAAAATAGTACACCAATCCTAACTTGCTGTCTTTTCCTAAAATCTTTCCTTTTCACAGAACTTAAAAACTCAGAGTATACACCATGTTTGGAACATGGAAGGGAAACAGCACATCAGGATGGGGGTATCGTATGTAATTTAACACACGGTAACCCCTCCCATTTGAGGATGGCACAGCAAAATTGTGATTATGTTTTAGAGTCTTCTATGAAATGGTTTCAGACTGCTTGAATCTGAAGTTAAGTAACAATATTTTTAATCTTGGTTTAGGGAACTGTCTCAGTTCTGCTTCTTAAAATTTTAATTCTGTTGAAGGTGATGAATACATTAGTAATGAAAAAGTAACATATACTTCTACAAACACACACACACACAAACACACACACACATACACACACAAAATCACTTCTAATGTGATCTATGGCCAGACTCTCTCATGTTAACAGTGAGATAACTCTTACTGAGCAGCTTTCTCTTGTGTGGTCTTTTATACACAGGATAATTTAGGGTCAAGCTGGCTGTGATTTAGGCTTAATCGTGGTTGAGATTTGCATGTTGTTTGAAATACTTTTGTGAAGATTTGTTCACCTCTTCTGTATGCAAGTCTGAAGATGCCATCAACAGGTAGCCACACCTGAACTTTTATTGTAATAATCAGCAAAGCATCCCTTCATGATACTGTGCTGAATGTCCTCATACGTGTGACACAGAGAACGCCGTCTGTACTCATTTTTCCCCATGGCAGGACTCATAAGAACTTTCCCACAGAATCAGCATTTTTAACAATCTTTTCTTGTTTTCTACACAGGAAAAAACTCCAAGCTGACCTATACACTATTTTTATTGAAACATAGCTTTGCTTTTACTAATTTTTGTTGTGCAAATATATTTTTGTCATGACAAAGGTGGAATTAAAAAATAACAGTGTTGGATCACAGAGTTAGCATAGATTCCCAATTGAGGCAAAGGTATTGTAGAAAATACGCTAACAGTTCAGGCGATGGCAGTCACATTTTCTCACCATTTGCAGTTTTTGGTGACTCCATCAGGACTTCACAGCAGGTAGACAACCCTCAAATCTGTTCTTAATTTCAACTTAAGTAAAAGACTCTCAGCAACAGCTGGCTTCAGAATAGCTGATACAGAATTCCACAGATGTGGTTCATAATGGTTTGAAAAATAAAAGGAACTAGGCCACAGAGCAGGATTCATTTAAGGAAAGACAAATTCAATAAGGATTCTTCTTTTGAAAGATTTCCATGTTAGGGAAGAGAGGTACCTGTTTTTCTCACTACGTTTTCTTACACTTAGAATTTTATGGTATGTTAATTACTTAACAGATAGGTTGTGACCTATTAACACCACACATTATTACAACAGCAAAACCATTGACTTTCTCAGCCTCAAATCTCATTATGTCTCACCATGCAGAACTGATTACATGTGCATGTTTATGCAAACTTTTCTAACAGAACTGAAAATAAAATAAGGGAACCAGCAATATCTCTGTCACTGTGGGTTGGCTACGTATACTTGTAATGAAACTGAGTAGGGAAGAAAGGCATAAAGACCTTTGTGTGGGATCCCGTTTGACACGTGCATAATACAGTTGGAAGGAAAGCAGAATTGCATTGAGGGTGTTCAATGGTGTTAGAAACAGAACAATAAGGAGAGAGGCGGTCAGGATTTGGATGAGTTATTGTCATAATTAAGGAGCCAAGACATTGTCTTGATGGAGAGGCTGGGTACAATTTTGGAGGGATGACTTTTTTAGTAGACATAACCTAAAACTTAACATTTTAACAATTTTTAAATGTACAGTTCAGTGTCATTAAGTACATTCACATCCATGTTGTAGCATACAGCAAGGTATAATTTTGTCTCCTTGAAAAAAGACACAGAGGTTATAAATGGAGAAGTATTTTGCCAGTGTCATTAAGTACATTCACATCCATGTTGTAGCATACAGCAAGGTATAATTTTGTCTCCTTTAAAAAAGACACAGAGGTTATAAATGGAGAAGTATTTTGCCAAAAAAAAAACCCCAAAAACAAAAACAACAAAAAACCTGATTTATGGAGTGACTGTAATTTCACCAAAAACAATCCTCAAGAATTTTTCTTTTGTTACCTAAAATGATTGATTTCATATATGGCTTTCTTTGTCTTTGCCCACCATATAAGCTTCAGAAAAAATATAACAGAAAGCCCTACCTTCTTCCCAAGTAGAAACCAGCACAATGTAACTACATGGAGCTGACCTAAGGCCACACTTGAGTTAAATTCTCTCTGGTTAGTACTTTCAGACTTATATATGACTTATAACAAGACTACTTCCAAAAAAAAAAAAAAGGAAACATATAATGTTAAGCCATGTTTAAAAATCGGAGAATTAAAATCAGTATAAAGACACAGAGAAATTGATGCATCAGGCACTTCAGGCACTTGCAGTGGGATAATTAATGTAGCCAAACTCTGAAGTAGGCCCAAGATTCCCGGCCCCAAGAAAAAAACTTTGGTGGAGAGACCATATCTTTCTGGGGACTGAACTAAGAAACAGGCGTGAGTCCCTGATGGGTCATTGCCAGGCTGTGAGGAGTCATTCCACTTTAGACAGGATGAAGGTATTTTAGTATTTTTTGCCACAAAAAGATATTAAACCAATGGCATTAAGTTAAACTTGGGGACCCAAAATGGAATTTTTGTAAAGAAACAAGTAGTTTGACCTGTAATTGAATCGCTAAATTGTACAGATTCTCGCACTTTTGTTTCTCACGGCAGCTTTACAGTGACATGTGGGAAATATGGGAAAATAATATTATATTTTCTACATTTTATACACTGAAAATTTTAAAAAATACTTCAGGTAGGTAGTCATCATTTAAAGAATATAAACAAAAGTTTGAGTTTTAAAATCCTAATTTTTCACATCTGTGCATTTATTAATTCATTCTATATTTACTACTTTAAGCCAGGCACTAGATCAAGTGGTAATTTTAAAAGCAGTATTTATTACATGCTTATTATGTAGGGAATCTTCATAAGAGCTTACATTTTGTGTCATTTAATATGTCACAGAAACCCATGAGATAGATGCCACTATTGTCCCATTTTACAGGTGCTCTCAGTTCACAACCCCAACCAGCCTGCAAAGCTGTTAAATGACACAGGTGGGATTTGAAAACAGCAGCCTGGACCACAGTGTTAACTTTTCCATCAAC